CACTCACTCAAACCCTCCTCACCAAGGTCACTGTCAGCTGTCATGTTGCAAAATCCAAGGTCTCTTCTCTGTGCTATCTTCACTGGCCCCCCCGGTGCTTTCAACCAGTTGACCCACCCTCTCTGAGAACCACTCTCTCCTTTGCAGGATTGCCAGGGAAATTATAGGATCCCCAGTTCAATTAGAATCTCAGGTAGACAACAAATTGTTTAGTATAAGTATGTCCTAAATATTGCATGGGACATATTTATACGGAAAATTATTTGCTGCCTATCTGAGATTAAAATGAACTGGATGTCCTGTATTTTTATTTGCTAAATCTGGCAAGCCTATTCCCTGCTTCTCTGCCCCATCAGCCCCCCACCTTCCTGTCCCTTCTCTAGTTGCTCCTACTTTTGTCAGCTGCTCCAGGGCGCTGGCCTCGGCTGCCTTCCCTTCTCAAACTCTGTGCTCTTCTGGGACAGGGCTTGACAGACTGCCCATCACCTGCAGAGTGAGGCTGTGCCTGCCCCCATTGCTTTGTTTTCAGAGTGACAGGTGTGACTCCAGCCTGCAGACCCTGCCCTCCACTGACCCAGGGAGGGTTGTGACCACACAGTATAGGGGCAGAGCCCTGGGCCTAAGGTCCTTATATTGGGTTCAGCTGAAGGGCCTTTATATTGGGTTCAGCTGAAGGGCCTGAGCTGGTGCAGAGCTGCCTGAGGGCAGAGAGCGCCGAAGGCCCCCACTTTTCATCCCTCCCAGGTCTTGTACCACTGTCTCTGTCCTCCTGGAGCTCTGGTTCCCCCATATTTATTTGTGCTGGACACGCTCACCCACCTCTGACTGATTTGGGTGCCTCTGAGAACAGGCCCCTTCTAAGTTCCTGGGGAGATGCACCACCCAGGGCCCCTTCAATGAAGGACCTTAGGGCCAAGCTCAGCTGCAGAGCAAACGGCGGGGGGGGGGATGCAGCACTCAGAGGAGGAGCAGAGGTGGGGGTATATTAAGGGCCTACATCACAGCTTGACTTCAATCTTGCTGTCTCCTCCTCCCCCTCACGGACATTGATCCCTATAAACATCTTGCATCCCAAACTTTGTCTCAGCCTTCGCTTTCAGAGAACACTACCTACAAGAGTCCCCTTTCCTCAGTCCCCGGGTCCTCCCTGCAGCCAGTTCCCTGCCATGTGCATCTATGAAGGCTCTGTTTGGGAGCTCTAGGACCCAAAGTGACCAAGACATGGGCCTCAGGACCTCCCCTCCCTGGATGTGCCTCTCCCCTCCCCATGCTCATCCACTCCATTCCTCTCCAGCGACCTGACTATCCTTGGCGCCTCACCCCTCTGCACCTCTGCAGCCCCAAGCCTCTCTCTCCAAGTCCTTCCTGTGGCAGCCACATGGCCAAGGTGGCCTGTCTGGGCACACTCAGAGGCCAGAGCCTCCCTCAGGGTCAGTCCTGCCCCCCTAACAGACAGGTCCTAGGAAAGCCACTTATTCAGTGCTGAATAGAGACTCAGAATTGGGTACCCTTCAAACTATACTCCAAACATGGCAGAGCTTTTATTTCATGGGTACAGAGAAAGCAGATTTTCTATGAAAAAATCTGAGCCTTTCTTTATTTGTGATGGAAACAAGAGCTTTGTTCATGCTCTCAGTGTAACATTTTAACTCATATGGCACTGTCTTTGAGTTCCTGATTTTCTGTCGTTCGAAGTGACTCAAGTCACATTCTCTAATAGAAGTGGCCAATAAGAAAAGAGTAATTAAGTCTCATTCCAAATGTGTTTAAAGTCTTCTTTCCGGCTTTCCTGTTAATAAAATACCTCATACTTTCCGTGACTCTGATTTTCTCTTCTGTTTCCTTTTGTGGTTTTCCAACCCTGACTCTTGGGAGACCCATAAAAGGATATACATTTTCAATTATAAAATAAATCACTTGTTCTCAGGAAGTAGCCCTTTGGTTTCAGAATTTCAGGGCTGATTTCAGGCAACTGGCAGGGGCAGGTCTCAGGGCTGGGCTTTGTGGGATGTGCACATGCAAGCAGCCAAAAGACTCAATTAGGGGAGCAGGTAAGAAGTGGGTTGTAAAAATGTCCACTTGAGGGAGCTGCTTCCTCTGGTGGCAATAGGAACAGTTGCGTAGGCATCCTGGGGTTAACCTGAGTTAACGGAACTCTTTTTACATTAAATTCCAGTTCCCCTGTGGATCAGAAACCTGGCCCACCGTGCAATCCAACACTGTTCAGTCACTCACTCTTCAGACCTCTCGTAAGCCCCATACCGTGGGTAGGGTCCAGCTGAGCTCTCATGGGTCAGGGCTGACTCCCATCTGGTCCCACCACTGTGGATCTCCCGGGGCGCAGCAACCAGAATGACATGGATGCAACAGACAGTTTGCTGGATACAGGCAGGGAAGGACAGGAATGCCCGACTTGGAGGAGTGGGGCGTCAGGGAAGGCTTGTTGGGGGGCAGGTGAGTCTGACCCACCAGCAGAGCAAATCCTGGGGGCCGTTAGGCCTCACATGAAGGTCCAGAAGTCCCGGGCACCCGCCACTGCCTGGGCATGGCCACCTGGCCCTGTGAAGAGAGAGGCCTCCTGGTGAAATGTGGCCACTGTGAAGCTGCGGCCCGGGCCCCCCTGAGGATCCTGGGCCTTCGAGTCACAGCTGAAGCAGCAGAGGACGCAGGTGATGGCTACAGTAACCACAAAGAGCACTGCCACTACGCCAATCACTGCCGTTTCCATGGCCCTGTGTGGCAGCTGGCGTGCTGGGCAACTTGGGGTGAGTCCTGGAGCTTCAGCTCCCCATCCGAAATGGGGCTGTTGGTGGTGACAGGTACCCGGCTCTTCCAGCCACTCTCCCTGCAGTCTTCTAAGAAGATACTGGTCTGAGGTCCTGGGTCGTGACCCCGCTAGGCCGTTGGGCACTCCGCATGGCACTTCTGCAGCCTCTGTCACTGTCTCCTAAGTCTAGCCAGGCTTCTGAGAGCTGTGGTCAACTCCACCGGCCGTCTCTGAAGAAACGCTGTCCTGAAAGATGTGCGCTCAAGACTCTCTGAGCTTGGAGGAGCTGGAAGGAGGGGGCAGAAGACTTTGCTCACAGGGAGCCTTGCCAGCCCGGCCCTCTGGTGTGCCGCCTACAGATTTCAGGAGTTTGTACACTCAGACAAAAGACAAAATGCTCCCCCTCCTGCGGATCCTGCAGATCCAGGATAAGCCAGGGCTCCTCCCCTGGAGGAACCTTGGGGCAGTCCTTGGATCAGCCTGGCTGCTGCCTCCGAGGACCCTAGCCCTGGGCTGGGGGCAGGGACACAGGTGGAAAGGAAGACAATGCCAGCCCTGGGCAAGGTGGCGGGAGTGTGTGAGTTCACTGCAAGTGCTCTGGGGACCTTAGGCAGGGGTGTGGGGGAGGGCCTGCTTCACTTGGCCTCCTTTTCTGCATGGGGTTGGGAGAGTGCTGTTTAGATAAGGCCAGGACATCTGGCCTTTGTCCTACAGTTCCCAGAAAAGCCCTCTTCTGTGTGGCCTCCCTCAGTCCTCAGTGCTGCCTGCTCATGCCCACTGCTCACCCACAGATGTTGTGAACACTTACCCTGGGCTTTTCTGGAACAACAGCTCTGGTTGTGTGTGGTTCCATGGTCTCCTGACCTGGGGGCCGCCCCAGGAGCCAGGTCACGGCATCCCAACCCTGGGTGCTGCCGCCTTGGTCCTGCCTGGGACTAGGCTCCAAGATGTCTGAGTGGCTGTGAGCTCTTCCTGAATTCCTTCCTCCAGTTATAAGGGCCCAGAACTCCTGCAGCTGCCTGTCACCCTTGGTGACTGCACTTACCCCACCTCCCAAGCACACCCAGGCCATTCCAGCCCTGCCCCCCCAGGTCTCCACTTAACTGGGTGGGGGGCGAGCCAGGCCTGGGCCACTGAATACGTCTCCCAGAAGAGGCTCTGTCCTGACACTCACTCGATCACAGCCCTTTCCAACACCACCAGCACTTCTAAAAAGGCAACTGGATTATTAGCTCACTTTATCCAAACTCTGAAAAATGCAGTAGTGAGAAACAATGATTCCAGGTACAGGACATAGCCATGCATTGTCTCATACAATTGGTCAGCAACCGCCTGAAGTGATACTGTCTCGGTTTTACAGATTGAGACGCTGGTAGTCAGAGGTTACATGACTTGCTGGTGACCTATTGCTAATTTGTAGTAATAACAAGAGCCCCAAATAGCCAAAGAGGGGCTTCCTGGCTTTCCCTCCCAGTGCAATGCTCTTTCCACACAGCAGTCCCCTCATTCTGCAGTGTTACTGATCAGAGTATGGAGGCCCAGAGAGGGCCAAGGGCTAGCCCAAGGTCACACAGCCTTTTCAATTTCTCCAAGGCCCCGGTAAACTTCCTTTAGCACTAGCTAAAGTGCTGCCTACACATAGAATGGGAGAGTGACTACCGGGAGTATGAGGCCCTGTCAAATTCTCACTCTTCCCTTTTCTAAGATGATTGAACGAACCTGGGGATGCGGCCCCTCCTCCGAGAGGGCAGAGGAGGAGCGTGGAGCAAGCTGGGGCCATGGCAGGAAGCTGGACATCTGGGACTATTTGTATTAACTGGGACAACCAGAAGCAAAGGGAAGGAAATGTGAGGAGCCAATCTGTGGTGCTGGCGGTTTCAGATTGAATTACCAAGATCAACTAGTCCATTCAGGAGGCAGAGGGTATCAGGCAGACCTGGTTTCAAGCTAGGCTATTTGTTCCTTTGACTTCTCACTTGCCTCTTCTTTGTGGGTGAATGGAGTGGTAAGTGAGCATTGTTCAGCATTTATTTTCAAGCTAGAATAAAGGACAAGGGTTCAGCCCTCTTACCTGTGCCTTGTATCAGTTTCTTTTTCTGTTTCCAAGATTTGGGGACCCTCCTTTGATTCACCTGAAAAACAGGCCTGGTCCATCCTCATAAGAGGCATTCCGTGTTTGAGTGAGGCCGTGTGGCACAATGAGAGGGACCCAGGTTATATGGTGAGGACAGCGCAGTTTGCTTTGAAGGCTCTTAGGGGTCTTCATGGACCTCACACTGGCCATCTGCAACGTGGAATGATCAATGAGGCATCTCAAGCCCAGGGCAAAAAAATAACCATCGATACAGTGGACCAAGCCCTAGCCGGTTGCTCAGTGGTTAGGGCATCGGCCTGCGGACTGAAGGGTCCCAGGTTTGATTCCGGCCAAGGGCTTGTACCCTGGTTACAGGCTTGATCCCAGCCCCAGTCGGGGCACGTGAGGGAGGCAACTAATCAATGTGTCTCTCTCACATCTCTCTCTCTCCCTTCTACTCTCTCTGAAAATCAATGGAAAAAACATCCTCAGATGAGGGTTAAAAAAATAAAATAAAAGTGTAGCAAAGTCAGATACCACCTGCAGGAGTGGGGCTTCTGCAGGCCCCAGAGCTTAGTCTGCCCTGGGGCTTAGTCTCACCACTCCTCCTAGCTCAATGCCCTCACCCCCAACCATCCTCAACAGCCCCTTTCCATTTATCAGCATTATCAGGAGAATTGAGAAGAGCTAGGTGGTCATCAATCTTTGCCCACAATTCAGAGATGTTTGTCCTAAAGGTATTTTCCACCTCTTTTCTTCCATTTGTAACTTTTATAATCCTGTGATACACAGCCCCTGCCCCTGAGCCCCAGATGGGATGGGGCTCCCAAAGATATCTATCACTTAGATACATATGTGTCCTCCCAGCATCCATCGTCATCAATTGACCAGAAAAAAAGACCGCCTTCCATACGTTCCACTTATATTAACAAGGGAAAAGATGATGGCAGGCATCCGGATGCAGAGGATGCCAATCTGCCAGAGGCTGGAGGCCACACTTAGGAAAGGCAGGCTGTCCAAAGCAGACATGGGGCTCTGCAGAGAGATAAGGGGGAGGGGAGGGCCGGGCCAGAGGGCTACCACCTCCACCTGTTAAGTGCTTCCTGCCTTTCAGACCCCACCACCACTCCCAACACTGGGGAGATAGAGCACAAGCTCCCTCAGAGGGCTCAGTGAGACAGGCCAGTAAGCCAGGACAAGTGGAATAGGGAAACTGAGACATATAGCTGAACAAACTAGCAGAGCAATTTATAGCAGATACAGAAGGTCACCTCCCTAGAAATAACATCTAGGCCTCAGTTGTATTTTGGCTCCAGACCCAGAAAAGCAATAAAACCAGGTGGGTGACATCAGGACCAAGTGCGATGACTGACACCTGCCCTGACACCGACCAATCAGTGAAGGCCATGGTCCTGGAGGAACACACCTAGAAAACTGATGAATATTCTGCTGAAACGCTCCCCTGAGACCTCCCCTAAGATTCCTGCCTGGCCTGCACCTGCAAGAATGAGATAAAGCCTCAAGACAAAGGACCCAGTGTGTGCTCTCCCTCTGGGAAGCAGCATTTTCTTTCCCCTTACTCTTCCCCCACTTTTCCCCACAGGCAGCATCTACTAAACTCTGAGGACCACACAAGACTTGCAACCTGGGGAGCAATGGGCAGCGGCAGCTTGTCGCAGGCTAGTCCCCTGAACCTGTCCCCAACGCCCACTTTTCTCTGACTTCCCAGAGAGCTAGGGCAGCCCAGCCTAGGCTCTCCTCTTGCTTCTTTTATGCTAAACCCTTTCTTGTTTTACGTCCCCAGCTTTAATAAATGTTCCCTCATAGTCGTCTGGACTCATGTGAAATTTTTCCTGCACGAAGTCAAGAACCTACACACTACTGGCTGGCCTTAGGCAGACCTGTCAAGGGTCAGGCCCCCTTTCCAGTAATACCAGGAGCCTAAACACCTAATCCCACAGGGCCCTATGCTCTACTTGGTGTCCCTCAGGCCCCATTCCAATCATATTTACTTTTCCAGAGAGTGTGAGTCTCCGAGAATCCTCTCTGAGGATCTGTTATGTGGGCTGGTTCTGTGCTGGTGGGCAGGAAGCCCTCAAAAAGTTCTCAGGGCCCTTGAATCCTGCCATAAATCTCTAGGGAGAGAGATAAAGTGTGGTCAGTCCTCCAAAAGAAATATAATAATAGTAATAATAATAACAATAATAAGTTGGAAACCCATAGAAGGGTTTCTTCGTGGACAGAGACACAGAGAGGGTAAGTGCAGAGTGTTTTCTGGGGTTGATGAGTGGAGCAGTGTGGATGGAACAAAAGATCGAGGGGGTGGGCGAGAACCAGACCAGAGGCCTTGAATGGCCAACCCAGAGGCAGAGACTTTCTCCCAAGGGCAATGAGGAGTTTCAGCAGATCCCACAGGCTGCAGCACAGAGATGCTTCAGAAAGGGTCAGGGCCAGAGGTGGGCAGACTCGGAGGGACTGTGACAGGGATCCAGGTTGGGGGATGAGCTAGGGTGGGTACTGGGGATGGGGAAGGGGAGGTGGATTGGAAGGACACTGCAGAGATAAAATCAACAACACATGGCAATTCATGGTCCACTTTCCCAACCCAGAAATCTAGTGACTCTCCGTATGAATTGGCCTCCCTCTCCCCAGTACCCCCCCCC